AGAAAATCATTCCAGATGATCCAATACTTAATTCAGGAAGTTCTACAAAGAGAAGTATTATCAATGGAATAATTCGGAAATTTTCTCAGTACTGAATGATACAGCTTTCAGACTGAAAGGAACATCCAAGTACCCCAAAAATTTAATTCTAATCTTAGAAGCTTTGAAGGTTAGAAAGAAATAAGTCAGATAAGGTGACGAAGAATTGGAGTAACATACTTACTCAAACTTAAAGGCAATGGGGCAATGGTCATCTATAGTTTAAGAGAAAATTATTTCAATTATATTCAATTTCTAGCCAAAATCTCTCAAAAAAAAATCCCTATTATGGTCCTTCTTGAAATTATGAGTCTCCACTCAAGAAAACCAAGACACAGAATTACAGATAACTGGAATCTGACAGAAGTTAAAGAAAGTCTGTATGTAAAGTGCAGAAGTGAACTATACCAAAGTCAGTCTACTAAGCGGCTTCTCTGGACTGGTATGCAGCAGCAGACTCTAGGGAAGACTTTGTTTTAAGCAGGGAACACTGAGCAAATAACACACATCAGCTACTGAGAGTTTTGCTATAGGAGAGCATGGGAATAACTGGAATAACTTCATGGCAAAAAACATGGAAAATTAAAAATGTGGGGGGAAAGTCCAATTAATTTAGAAGGAAAAACAGCATAAAATGGAAAAAGCAATCATGACTCAGTAGCCAACAATTTACCTGAACTTGTGATATTATAAATCCTGAATACCTATCTAGTCGAAACTAAGTAAGCTGGGAAAAGAATGTTCAACGTAGTGGAGATTGAGGTAGAGCATATTTGAAAGAAAGCTAAAGACTTTCATCTTCTGCCATTATAAATCAATGGACACTATAAATATATGGCACCTAAAATTGAAATATCAATTAGTATGAACCTAAATATATACTTAAGTACACATGTATTCATAAATGTACATTTCTCTGCACTTTCTTTTATGTACATATATATTGAAAAATGTAATACAATTGCAATTTCTTCTAAGTGCTTTTCATTAGATCTGAAACAAATGAGACACCACAGGAGTTTTCCAGTTGAAGAACAGATGAGCATACAGGATGGCAAAGGGCAATGTTTATTACTTCACATTTTATGAATTTTAAGGATGTAAAGGAGGGAAGAAAATCAGTACATCCTCAACAATCTCTAACGTCCTAGTATCTTGCTAAGATATGTTTCATTTTCTGTCAGGCCTGCGCTATGAAAATCCCACGCATCACGAGCTTGTTCTGGCCCTTCTCCATGCTGCTACTATCTGACCAAAGTAGAATGTCTGAAGCAGTAAGTTCTTATGGCTAAAGTCGTGAAAATGTTTTTAAACACACACTTTCTACACATATAGTAAAATCTAGAAAGGCATAAAGCAAAAAAAGAAAACTGAAAATCCTCAGTGGGTAAAGGCTGTCACCAAGCATGATGACTTCAGTTCAGTCACCAGGATCCACTGTAGGAAGAGGACACTTACTCCTCAAAGTTGTCCTCCGACCTCCATGTGTGCCACAGCACACATGTCCTTGAACTCACACACACACACACACACACACACACACATACACACAATCATACACACAAAATTTAAAATAAAATTTATTTTACAAAGATTTTTCTAACAAAAATATTTTTAATATTTTATTATTTTTATTTTATATGTATGAGTGCATTGCCTGCATGTAGGTAAGTGCACCCGTGTCGTGCAATGCCCACGGTGGTGAGAAGATGGAGTCACATCATCTGGAACTGAAGTTATAGACAGTTTTTACCCACAATATGAGTGCTGAGAACTGAACCCAGTCTATAACCACTCTGTAAGAGCAGCCAGCACTCTTAACTGCTCAGCCATCTCTCCAGACGCTCAAATAAAATTATTTTTAATTCAAGTTTATTTAAACAAAAATATTAATGTATAATGGCAAAAACAAATATTGTAAATAAAATATTCTAATCCCTTGGAAGAATGATTAGTTGGATGATTAGTTAGTTAAGCAATAGGCTAATGATACTAGAAAATAATTAAACATACATTAATGCCATGATAAAAATAAAATAATGTTAGAGATTACTTAATTCAACTTGACCCCAATTCCCATTCTCCGCTTAAAAAAAAAATACTGGTGGAAACTAAGTTGGACATTATGTCTTAATATTTTGACTTCAATATGCTTACAATTTTGAATGTATATGTGTACCTATCTAGTTGACAAAAATTCTAAAATCTACAATGATTTTTAAATTTTTATTCTTTAAAGATTTTTCAATTTTTTTACTGAATTTTTGTGCATTTCATGCAACACATCTTGATCATATTTAGACTTGCTACCTACACTCCCCATACCACCCTGCAACTACTTCCATGTATTCTGTCATATATGCTAAGGCCTATCAAGTCAAGTTTGTGTCACTCAGTGTGAGTGCATCAACCTATCTAGCACCACTTCCTTAAAGAACACCAACCTCACACAGCAGGGATCAACTGCCAATAGTACCTCAGCTAAGGTTGGGGCTTCTTCCCCACTTCCCCACTTCCCCGCTGTGTTTTTGTCTGGTTTGAATTTGCATGGGTCTTGTGCATGCTGTTAGATTACTTACTAAGGTCATATGAGCAAATTTCCAGCTGCCTGAAAAACTGTTTCCTTGTGGTCATCCACCACCCCTGCTCTTACAGTCTTTCCACCTCCTCTTCCACACAACAGTCCCTGAGCCCTGGGTGGCAAAGGTAATACAGGAGTCCTATCCAGGGACACACACATTTTGCAGTCTCTTATTCTCTACATTTTAGCTGGTTGTGGTTTTCTGTGTTAATCACCAGCTGTTGCATGTGGAAACTTTGTTGCTGAGAGTTGTGAGACACATAAATATTCTATTTGGCCCCTGCTCTGCTATGTTCCCTGAGCCCAGAGAAAAATATATTAGTTCAAAAGTCTGCTGAAAAGTGTATACAATATATGTATTAGTGCATGTGTATAGCTGAAGGCTATATAACAAGAATCACAGTGTCAGACAGGAGAAACCTCTCCTCGAGTTGTTGGTCAGTCAGGGTAGTCGAAAACTTCCAAAATAACAGACTACTGCCACAGCCCTAGATTGCCTCCCAGAACTTGAGGGTAAAACCCTATTGTCGAAGATAGGACATACTTCAGACATAGGACATGAAGCAATTGAGCTGGAAATGAACTAGAAGCCTCCTCACTGAAAATAAAAATTCTTTATCTATGTATACTAAAATTCTGTGATCTCTGGGCAAAATCTTAATCTAACAAAAGCAATCTTTTATAAATTAAAAACTGGCTGAAGGGAGCTGGAAAGATGGCTCAACTTACAAGCAATTGCTTGCTGCTCTTGCAGAGGATGGTTCAGTTCCAGCACTCCCATAACTACTCACAACCACCTGTTACTCCGGTTCCAGAGGATCAGCACTCTCTTCTGGCCTCTGTGAGCACCAGGCACCCACATGGTAAACATACATACACACAGGCACTCACACATTAACACATATGAAACATAAATAAGGAAGCTAATTAAAGTAGAAATCTGCAACTTTTCAATATACAGTCAGAGATCAGTTCCATTACATAAAAAAACAGAGTGTAAAATATAGAAAGGAGACAGGGAAGCTGGGGGGGTGCCTTAGTGAATAAAGGGCTTGCTGTGCAAGTATAAGGCACTGAGTTACATCCAAGGCATCAAGTGATAGCCAACATTGACCTCTGGCCTACACACATGTGTGCACACACACACATGCACACACACTCACACACATGCACACATATACCATATATCCACAAATAACAATAAGAGTAAAATAAAATGGAATGTTCCTGGCAGCTAACAAAACTCCACTTCCAGGAGAGCTGATGCCCTCTTCTGACTTCACAAGCATTGCATAACACAGGTTCAGTTACATACAAGCAGGCAATACGTTCATACATATAAACATAAAAAACAATTTGAAAAATAGACTGCAGGATGCCACTATGGCTAGAGCTCCTGTCTAGTGTGCTCCAGGCCCTGGGCTTAATGCCCCGTGCTATCAAAAAATTTTTCTGTAATATAGGAAATTAAGCCAGTTGTGCTAACCTTATGTCTGTAATCCCAGAATGCAGGAGACTGAGGCTAGAAGATCAGGAGTTGGCTAGCCTATGCTACATATCAAGACCCTATAGCAAACAAAAGGAAACAAAAGAAAACCCACAGCAACAAAAAAAGACCACCATGTCAGTCAATAAAAGTAATAAAATGTGGGTTGCAGAGATGGCTAAGCACTTAAGAGCACATACTACTTCTGCAGAGGGGCCAAGTTTGATTCCAAACACCCACATCAGGTAACTCCAGCTCCACGGGAATCTAACACCTCTCGCCTCAGTGGACAACCGTTCTTGTGTGCACATACCCACAGAGAGATAACATTAATTTTTTAAAAACTAAAAAACTGTAAATGCAAGAAACTTTAAAAACTCAGTGATTTAAGCCGGGCGTGGTAGCTCATGCCTTTAATCCCAGCACTTAGGAGGCAGAAGCAGGCGGATCTCTGTGAGATCGAGGCCAGCCTGGTCTACATAGTGAGTTCCAGGTCAGCTGTGGCTGGCTACAGGGAGACCCTGTCTCAAAAAGACAACAAACAAACAAACAAAAAAAAAAAACCTCACTGATTTAAGCGTGGAACTTATGTGGCTGCATTCTTACTAACTACAGAGGCAGTGAAGAACTATGTCTTTGAATTTATACATAAAGAGCATTTTAGCACACATGGCTCATTAGATTCAATCATGACTCAAATTCTAATGTAAGGGAAGTATTTACTAGCAAAACAGCAACTTGTGAGCTGTTAAAACAACAGACGTTGGGGCTGGAGAGATGGCTCAGCAGTTGAGAGCACTGACTGCTCTTGCAGAGGACCCAGGTTTGATTCCCAGCACCCACATGGCAGCTACGAACCGTTCTTAACTCCAGTTCCAGGGGAATCTGAAGCTTTCTTCTAACCTCCACAGCACTGCATGACACGGGTACACTCACATATATGCAGGCAATATACTCATACACATAAGATAAAAATAATAAAATATTTTTTTTTAAAGGCAACAGATGTGGTTGAGCAGGCTTTTTGTTTGAGACAGGGTCTCCCTATAAGTCACAGCTGGTCTGGAACTTGATATGTAGACCAGGCTGGACTGACAAAGAACTGCTTGCTTCTGTCTCCTGAGTGCTGGGGTTAAAGGCATGTCCCACCATGCCCAGCTTGAGCATTGCTTTTAATTATTTAATAGCTTATTTATGTGCTGTTATCTCCATAAACTTCAAAATCTGTTATTTTTTAATTTCCCCATAAATGTCTACTCTGCATGCCAGAATATCAAACAAGGTCTTGGGTTGTTTTATTTTTTGACACTATTTAGCCCAGGTTGGCCTTGAACGTGCTATTCTGCCTCAACCTCCCAAGTGCTAGGATCACAAGCATGTGCTAACATGCCCAATTAAGTGAACAGTATTGTTAGTTGCCTTGTATTTCTGTAAGTAGAAATAGACAGTATTTCTTCTTTCTGTAACACTTAAGTAGTAAAAGAGGTATCTGTGGAACAAAGTAGGCTCTCCTTGCTTGGCTGTATCAGAATGTCCTCAATCCTCCATCTTCATAAGGAAAGAATGCCATCTGCTCTTCCTTTTCCACATCAAAACAGATGTTTCACAAAATGATTTCCTTCCAACCTTTGAGCTTAGACATGTAATTCTGAGAAATTCCGTTAGTTTTTCCAATTAAAGCACTTCTATTTTTTTTTCTTTTCTTTTCTAGGAAGTCAAATACAATTTCACTGAAAAGAATTATTCTTTGATTCCAGCTGGTATCAATAATGTTACCATCCTTGATCTCAGTTATAACCAGATCACGCTGAATGTTTCAGACATAAGGGTGTTACAGATGTATTCTTTACTCACAGAGCTCTACTTGATTGAGAATGATATCACTGTCTTATACAATAATAGTTTCAGTAATTTATCCAACCTAGAACTTTTAAATATCTGTAGAAATTCTATCAGCATAATTCAACAGGATGCATTTGTAGGCTTAAATAAACTAAAACAGTTACATCTTTGCCAAAATGAAATACTACAACTAAATCCTGACATGTTTGTGCCGCTAAACAACCTGAAAGTTCTGAACCTGAAAGGCAATTTGATAAGCTACTTTGATGGACCACAACTCCTTCATCTGGAATTAATAATCTTATATGGAAACCCATGGAATTGCACTTGTCGTCTGTTCAACCTGCAGAACTGGTTGAATACATCAAATGTGACGCTAGGTAAGCTATCATACTGTAACTCAAGCAAAACCAAAATGTGATTAACTTCCGATGTTCCACCCTAGAATCTCTCATTTTTAAAAAACAATCTACTGGGATTGGGGTATAGTTTAATGGTAGGCACATGCCAATCATGCATGAAGCCTTGAACTTAATCTCTAGCACAATTTAGACAGACAGACAGACAGATCCTGGAAGAAACTGCTGAATAAATGCTCTCTCTCATCCTGGGGTGTCAAGTGGTTTAAATGTTTTAGGTAAGAGAGAAAATAGCACTGAGCATGCAGTCAATAGGTAAAATTCATTCTGTATGTCTGACATGGTATAGCACATGCCTTTAATCCCAGCACACAGGAGGCAGATGCAGGAAGATCTCTAAGTTTGAGGCCAGCCAGGCAGGTCTACATAGCAAGTTCAAGACCAGTCAAGGCAGGATATTCTCAAAAAAGAAAAATTTTACTTCTATTAATTATTTCCTATATATTTTTAGGCTATCTTGTCGCAGAATGGGTATAAAGAGGTACCTTATTTGTTTGGCTGGTTGGTTGTTTCTGGCACTGGGGATTGAATTCAAGATGGCTTTATTTGTTAATACAAATCCTGTACTGCTTGAGATTCAATTTACAACTATAATCTTTTTAAATATTTATTATTTTTATTTTATGTGTCAATGTGTATTACCTGTATGTGTCTAAGTGCACGCATGTCATACAATTCCCACAGAGATCAGAAGAGAGTATCAGATTCCTCTGAACTGGAGTTGCGAATGGATGTTTGCCGCCATATGGGTGCTAGGAATCGAACCTGGGTCCTCTGCGAGACCAGTCAGTGCTCTTAACCACTGAGCCATCTCTCCACCCTTGTAGCTATAATCATAAAACTTTCCTAGTATACAAGCTACACAATAAACAGATACTGCAATTAAGCTGTATTTATACCAGGAATATACCTCACCCCTCCTTGTGCTGACAAACAAATGTATCAAGTTACTTTCTTAAAATACCCTTAATAGACAGATATAACAAAAAATCTAAACAAACATTATATTACCAATCATTTTAAGTTTCTATAATAAATCTTTATTTCTTCTTTACTAGAAAATGAAAATATTACCATGTGTCACTATCCATATGACCTAAAGCACTACAGCATCAAAACAGCACCCTTCACCACTGAATGCCATCCAAAATCTATTTCACCTATAACTGAAGATCTTTATACTCATTTTCAATCCAATTCAACATTCAGTAGCTCTTTAAACAACGCAACACAAAGTTCAGGTAATGTATCAATTAATGTATTACTATTGCTGAAGGTGTTAACTAAATGAAGAGTTTTATCCCTCACCATCTTTAGCTTCTACAAACAATGTAAAAGAATAGTTTTTTATCTCAACAGAAGATGTACAAAATAATGGAATTCGAACTTGGGCTCTATTAGTCATTACACATATGCTACTGCAGATTAGCTAACTTCTTGAGTCTTCAACTTAGTCAAGACAATTCTTAACAAGTCAGCAATGGTCTTATGTGAAGGAGTTAAAGTACCTACAAAGATGGCTATGGGTTGGGCCAGACGCGTTCTGGATTTTTTTTAATGTGTAGAATTGTATGTACATAGAAGAACCCTGAGATCCAGGTCTAATACAAAATTCATTTGTTTCAAAAGCAGTACATACATCTAGTCTGAAGATAATTTTATGCAATATTTTTAGTGCACTTGTGTTGTAACTATGACCTGCCACTTGAAGGCTGCTATGGAATTTTCTACATGTGAAATCATGTTGGTGCTCAAAAAGCTACCAACTTTGGGGTGTTTTAGATTTTTAGATTAGGGTTGTTCAACTTTGGGCCATTTTGGGAAGATACCCTTTCAGTACACTTTTCTTTAGCGCCTTAGTAATTTTTACCCAAAGAAAACTGTAAAGTATGTTTATTTCCAATACTATATGATTTCTGTCAAGCTAAAATTTCTCTCTTTTCCCTTTAAGAACATGAGCCTCTTGGAAAAAGTTGGGCTTTCCTTGTTGGTGTCGTCCTAACTGTACTGCTAACATCATTCCTCATCTTTCTTGCTATCAAATGCCCAATATGGTATAATTTTCTGCTTAGCTACAGTCATCACCGCCTGGAAGAGCATGAAGCAGAAACCTATGAAAACGGTCTTGCTAGAAATCCAGGTTCTCTTTCACAAATAACAGACACAAACTCTGAAGACACTACAGTAATATTTGAACGCTTGCATTCATTTGTCGTAGATGAAGATGGGTTCATTGAAGACAAGTATATAGACATCCATGAACTATGTGAAGAAAAATAAGTTTTTCATGTTAGAATTTTTAAAAAAATGGTATCTGTCTACTCATAGCTTAAATATGAAGATTTTTATTTGACAAACTATAGCCAATAGATTAGTTCTGATTAGCATATTATGTAAATAATATACAATTATGTTTTTACTGCATTGAGCAAGCAGGGCCAAATGCAATACCATTTTGGCTAAGTAAAAGATGCACAGTTATCCGGGCGTGGTGGCGCACTTCTTTAATCCTAGAACTCTGGAGGCAGAGGCAGGCAGATCTCTGTGAGTTCAAGGCCAGCCTGGTCTACATAGTGAGTTCCAGGCCAGCTGGGTCTACTGGGAGACCCTGTCTCAAAAAAAAGACAAAAAAAATATTTAAAAAAAGACGCACAGTTAATCTACACCACCAGCATCACTATTGTCAACAACACTCAGGAAACCACAGATTAGTAAAAAGACCTAATTATTAACTATTCAGAGTTCCATATTAACAAATACTTGCAATGTCTTATGTATTAAATTATATTAAAATTCCAATCAGCAAAGAAATATAGATTGTAGGTTTAGATCACTAAAATGAGGACGAGGGAGCTCTGACTATATTCATAGATTGGTTTTGTGCTCAGAAACTGAATTCATAGAATTGGAAAAATATCTTTTGGGTTTCCTGGATTAAGAAAACAAAATTTCCTCAAAATTAGTAGTAATTTAAAGCACAGGGAAATGTTTAAGTATTATCACTAATAATCACTCCTGCTTTTTTTTTTTTTTGGTCTTTTTGAGACAGGTCTCCCTGTGGCCCCAGCTGACCTAGAACTCGCTATGTAGACCAAACTGGGCTTGAACTCACAGGGATCCACTTGCCTCTGCCTCCTGAGTCCTGGGATTAAAGGTGTGTGCCACAACACCCAGCAATAATTACTGATCTTTGTAGTGATCACTAGAAAAGATTCCACCATCATACATGATCACCATAGTTTAATATTGCCGTGGTCCTAAAGCAGGTATCACAATGAGTTATGCATTTTCTTTTAAAAATGCACATTCTGTATCTCTCTGGAAGATTATCATTCAAATTGTTCTATGCAAGAGCTAAAGAATCTTTAGGTCTTCCACATTGTTTTCTAGAGCATTAATTTCCCCAAAAAAACAATGATAACCATCTATAGACAAAGAAAAAAGGACCTGTCAAATGACCATAGGAAACTCTAAATTGAAATAAAGTAAACTAAGATTCTTTACTATGCTAAATCTGAGACTTTACTTACTAAACTGATCTCTGATAATTCAAGAACCAAGTATTAAGAATTTTTGAAGAGGGCTGGGTGTGGTGGCACACTCCTTTAATCCCAGCACTCAGGAGGCAGAGGCAGGTGGATTTCTGTGAGTTCCAGGACAGCTGGGGCTACAGGGAGATCCTGTCTCAATAAAAAAAAAAAAAAAAAAAAAAAAAAAAAAAAAGATTTTTTTGAAGAGTACTTACCATAAGAAAGACCAGGACTTAATCTCTATAATCACAGACACAGACACACAGACACACAGACACACTTTAAAAACTTATTTAAGGCCAGCATGGTGACTCATGCCTTTAATCCCAGCACTTGGGAGGCAGAGGTAGATCTCTGTGAGTTCGAGGCCAGCCTGATCTGCATAGCGAGTGCCAGGTCAGCTGAAGCTACAGGGAGACCCTGTCTCAAAAAAACACACACAAAAAAAAACTTATTTAATAACCAAACTCTTTCTTGAAGGTAAATCTACTAAGAGCTTAGAGCACACAGGAAACACTAGCCCAGTACTATCACAAAAAGAATGTATCTATAGTGAATTTTTTGCCAATTCCCTTATAATGAATTGGTTGCAAACATAATTTTAATAATTTATCTAAGAAAAGAATTAAGAACTAGCAAAATCTGTATTTTAACATTCTGCATGTGGGGAAATTAAGTATATTTATCTCTTTCAGAGAAAAGGCTATCTGTAAACACTGTAATATGCTTACAGATGAAATAGTGTAACACATTCTGACTCTCTTCATCAGACTATGTGGTTGGAGCACAGCTGGAAACGTGCTGACAGGGCTGCAAAACGGGTATGTGGGGATACAATGCTGCAATTGTGTATGTTCTGATATCTCTTTAATAAAGTTTTCAAAAGCATGTACTTAATAACTTCTTACCCAAATAAAGGGACTAATAATGAATATCTTGTCATAACCCACAGAATAATCTTTTTATTTTTTATTTTCTTTTAGTCTTTTTGAGACAAGGTCTCCTTGTAGACACAGCTGGCCTGGAATTCCCTATGGAGACCAGGCTGGCCTCAATCTCACAGAGATCCACTTGTCTCTGTTTCCCAAGTTCTGGAATCAAAGGTATGCACCACCACTCCCAGACAGAATAGAATAGTCTTTATAAAATAATATAAACAGGGGCTGGAGAGATGGCCCAGCGGTTAAGGGCACTGACTGCTCTTGCAGAGGACCAGGGTTTGATTCCCAGCACCCACATGGCAGCTACAAACTGTCCTTAACTCCAGTTCCAAGGGAACCCGAAGCCCTCTTTGACCTCCGCGGTATTGCACGACGTAGGTGCACTCACATACTTGCAGGCAATACACTCATACACATAAAATAAATTTTTTTTTAATTTTTTTAAAAAGTAATATAAACAGGGCTGGCAAGATGGCTCAGTGGTTAAAAATGCCTGCAACAAAGCCTAACTACTTGAGTTCAATCCCCAGGAACCATTTCTTGCCAAGTTGTCCTCTGACCTCCACATGTGCACTACAGTACACGTCACATGTCAACACATACACATACATATGCACACACAATAAATGAAATGTAATAAAAACATTTTGAATGTTATATAAATAATACATTCAGTTGAAATGTCCACTGAGGGAAAAATATACCCCATGAAACAAATGAGTCTTTATAATGCATATTCTCTGGTAACAAAAAGGATATGAATATCTTATGTCATCAACTGTAAGTTGTTCTAAGTCTCAATTTTAAAACATAATTAAGGTGACTTTTTTAACCTATCATTCTGCCAAAATATCATTTCTTGATTATAAGATATAAAAACTACTTTGAAGAATATAGTAAAATGAAGCAATAAATGTCTTATATTCAACAGCTTCTTATTATTGGGTATCTAATAAATATCTGACCAGGTGAAGAGAAATAAATGAACTTTATTATAACTCTACATTTAAAGGCAACTGATCTTGACTAATACCAGACTAGCAAAGGCAGACATAAGAATCAAAAGAGAATCAATTCAAACAGATATATGGCTTGAATTAACATCAGATATTGACTATTTAAACATTGTTACAATAACATGCTGAGTTTGCTAACTATAACCAGCTTACTGTGGATAGGTTTTCCATAGTAAACCAGGGCATCACTCCACACTACATGATGGAGAGAGCTTAATCTTATTGTGGATAGGTTTTCCATAATAAACCAGGGTGTCACTCCACCTACATGATGAAGAGAGCTTACTCTTGCAAACTATTCTCTAACATTCACACACATGCCCTCCACCCCACAAAAGAAATAAAAGTCCTGAGGATGTCACCAAACAGTTTCCAAACTGTTTGTGTACTTTTAATTAAAGCTAATGTTCTGGATTCTCCTGTATTTTTTAGGCAGAAATTTAAGTTAAGAATAAAATTATTTATTTCTGAAGTTTACCACGTAGTAGAATAGATTCATTTCATAGGCTACTGGCCGTCCCAGTAACAGTAGGCTACCTGACAACACATTCAGAGGGACTAAGAAAGGCCATACCTTGAGAAGGCAGATGGAAAAGCTTCTATTTTCAATCTCTACTTTCAGCAATCATCAGGATTGGCTGCAAGTGCCTTTACCCATTGAGCCATCTTGCCAGCTCAGATTACAGGATGTAAATAATTTTTTCTTTAATCAAATGAACCAAACAAACAAAAATCTGCGGAAGTTTTAAACATTTTAGATTACGTTTTTGGGTGAAATGTCTGTAAACCATAGATAACAGTATTTATTCATCTTACCTGGTTATTACAGAACTTTTGAAATAATGAAATAAATGAGGACCTAAATGTTCTAAATTCTTTGAAGTATTAAGGGGTATGGCTTATCTACGTATATATAATTTTTCTAGTACCTAGAAAGTATCTTATATACAGTAAATAAATGACAGACATTTGCTAAATGGATTTAAAGCCCGGAGAAAAGGGAGGATGAGAGGGAAGAAGGAAGAACCTTTCAAGGAAGCGTTGCCTATTCTTTGTCCAAAGGAAGAGGCTGCTGGGATTTTCAGTTTCCAGGAAAGCTTTCTATGGCAGCTTCAATGATAGGGAAAGGAACTCCCTTGTTTCTCATCAACAGAGGAATTTTATTTCTTTTCCAAATATTTCATCATTATATTTAACAACCTAGTCTTTATCAAGTATAAAGCACTGTGTAGGAGCAGCATGGCAGTGTATTTGGTGTTACTAAATGTCAGTAATTCTGGTTAATAATGATCCTTGATCTGAAAAAGATTAACAGTAATAAGCTTCTGGGACAGAATGTGTTGTGTATGTTTATACAACATGGTTCAATTTTGTTTACATTGTCATACACAGTATTTAATAAGGATAAAAACTGATTTTAAAAAATTAATTTTTAATTTACATTTATTATTTTTGCATGGATTACTATTGCTGCTACACTTTAAGAACAAAGTCAAAGCTAGTTGGTATTTAGTCTTTATAGAGAAGTTATATATAAACAAACATTATCTATAGAAGGCAAAGAAAATATAATCCTCATAGGTGTCAGCTAGATAATGTACAGTGCCTACTGACTAGTAACATCTTTCATTAAAATGGGGCTAATACGTCACAAGTCAAACTACCTAAAGGCTAAAAGTATAAGTGGTAGATATAAAGACATTATTCATCTTAGAGTTTAACTTGGTAGAAACAGAAATCATTATTTATATAATTGAGTAGTCATTTTCTTTGTATAAAATTTAGCTCCTCAGGGGTGAGATAGGATGTATGTTAAGATAAATTTGATAGTAAGATGCTATGGGGAGCTGGAGAGATGGCACTTGCTGCTCTACAGAAGACCATGGTCAGTTACCAATACCCTTATGGGGGTCTAACAGCAGTCTGCTAACTCCAGTTCCTATGGATTCAATGCCCTCTTCTAGCCTCCATAGGCATTGCATGACACAGGTACACTTACATACATGCAGGTACAACACTCATACACACAAAGTTAAATAAGAGAAAAATTAAATTTTTTTCTTATTAAGGAAATAGTGACTCACAAGTTATACCATCTATCAAAACTCATTTATAAATATTTGATTTTTAAACATGATGAACTTACGCTTGTCTTTCGGTAAATATGACATCCATACTTTGTGTTTCTCGATCATTTTGAGCTTTAAGCTGTGTAAACAGTTAACATAAAAGTTAGTAATAAAAAAGTAACACCAAACAAAATTTTGTAAAGGTTACTCTGGAACTAAAGGAGATTATTATAATAATGCCACAGGAAAAAACTAAAAAAAAAAATTCATCTAACAAAGAACACTATCAGATAAAACAAACTTGCCTTCTATATAGGCATCATACACTTCATGCCAAAAATACTCATTGTTCTTTAGTGATCTGTTCAATAATTCAATTTAAACTTAATTAATTTATGTAAATGGTAGTTCAACAACATATTGAATGCTCAATAAATATTTGATTAGCAATATGCTGAATTTGGAAGCAACAGGATTTTGTTCTTCAATCATTCTTGATTTACTAAATACTCCTAGATGACTCTATATATCCAGACCTGAACCCAGATCCCAAATAACAGACCAAAAATTTTTTAAAGTCTTTACTTTTTATTTCTTCCTATACAATAAATAGCATTAAAATACACTTTTTAGTTTCTGAAACTGAAAATAATTTACTAAATAAGATTTTAGAATCCCAAATTTAAGTCATTTTTAAAATTCTATTTTCATAGAAGTCTTTGGTCATGTAAATAAACTATGTTATATAATTGTTATATATTGTCATCCAAATTTTAAGATGAAAATAAGCTGGGTTTTTTGTTGTTGTTGTTTTGTTCAGTCTTTTTGAGACAAGGCCTCCCTGTAGCCCTAGCTAGCCTGGATTCGCTATGGAGACCAGGCTGGCCTTGAACTCACAGAGATCCGCCTGTCTCTGCCTCCCGAGTGCTGGGATTAAAGGCATGCGCCACCATGCCCGGGTAATATGTGGTTTTTAACATGAACACAGAACACAAGTTCTCATTCACCAATGTCATCATTTTGTCTGTAACATATCTATTCATTTTTCTCTGTTATAAAAACTATGAAAGAATATTTTTAAAGACACTATTTCCACTAGGCTTTCAACATCATTTGTGCAAAAACTAAAACAGAAACAATGTTAACTAATATACATCCAAGAGGCATAGGTGGTACTTGCTGAGTGCAAGCTCAGCTCAAACCAAGTTCTACTGACACATACTGGAGCCTCAACAGGAAGAAGGCAAAGCAGCGTCGAAGGGAGCTCGACTGCGGCAATGATGCTCATCATCAACATGTCACGTTACCAAGCTACCTCTAGATAACTGCTTCATTTGGAGAATATGTTTTATGTACAGCTACTGCTTATATTTACAATTTTCTTACCATGTTGTAATCATTCATTACTTCTTCCATTTCAGTACTGGTATTAAGTTTATCTACCAACTAAAAGCAAAAATACAGAAAAAAAAACATCATTTTATTACCCTTAATGTTGTGGGTAAGTCTTAATCTATTAATATGTTAATATTACAGAGTGTCTTATTTTCTAAGATAAAAATACAAATACATTTTGAGCTAAGATTAAAAACAATACTGAAAAAATGAGCATAGTATCCATTTGGCCAATAGGGCAGTTTTAGTGTGGAGAAATAATGAAATGCTCTTCCTATACATCACCCTTGAAGAGCTTCACCTTCTCTAAAAGACCAAATTTAGAAAGGTCTAAAACAGAATGAGCTTTTGGAAATATCTGCCACTCCTATTTTTCCCCTCCAGGAAAATACTAACCAATTTAACAGTTCATATTACCAAAAATGTAAAACAACTTTTCTTCCCTAAAATTAAAAAAACAATAGAGAAAACACAAACAGCACAATAGTAAGTCTAATTCCTAAGTTAGGCAATGATATCAACAGCTAACCCAGTATTTACTTTACCCCAAACAGTGCTTGAGCCTGATATCTGTAGGAACACAATTTTCACAACAGTCTCTGAAGTATAAATTATAGTGCACATTTTAAAGAAATTCAGGGAGTAATGGAGCCAGAATTTCAATAAAAGGTTAATCTAAGTACCCGTTAAAAACAAACTATTTAGGTATAGTTGATGGTAAAAGACTAAGTAAGCTTTATTAATATTACATTTATAATTTTTTTTTAATTTTATGTGTATGAGTGTATTGCCTTAAAGCATGTAAGTGCACCCATGTCATGCAATGCCCATGGAGATCAGAAGAGAGCATCAGATTTCCCTGGAACTGAAGTTACAGACAGTTTTAGCCACCATGTGGGTGCTAAGAATCTAACCCGGTCCTCTGCAAGAGCAGTCAGTGCTCTTAACTGCTGAACCACCTCTCTAGTCCCAATATTTTTAATTTATATATTATATTTTATCCTTTTGGGGGCGATTTTGTTTGTTGTTATTGTTTCGAAACAGGGTATCACTATACAGTCCAGGCTGCCCTTGAACTCTGAGAGATCTGCCTGCCTCTGTCTTCCAAGTGCAGGCATGTACTGCCATGACCAGTTTATATTTTAAAATGCAGTATCCACCATTTTTTGTATTGTGATAGAAACTAGTGCTAATAAGACCTAATATATTTGAATCCCAGTTATATGTAAAATCCCTAATTAAATGCTTTCTATTTAACAGATATTAGCTCATTAAAACTATAAACAGGACCTTTTACATGTCATTAATATTTTTATATTATTTACTTAATACATTTCATCATAAGCAAAAATGTTTTATTTAATATTTAAATATCCTATATAAAACTATTTTTATTCAAAAATACATCTCTTAATTTTCTCATAATAGAACATCAAGGGCTAGAGAGAAGGTTCAGCTGAGAGATGCTCTTGCAGAGTACCTTGCAAAGTTCAGTTTCGAGCACCCAGTTCAGGCAGCTCTCAATTGTAACTCCAGCTGCAGGAGATCTGATGCCCTTCCCATCTTCTGGCCTTAAATGGGCATCTGCGCTCATGTGTACATACCCATACATACACACATGATTAGAAATAAAATAAAATCTTTAAAGCAACAAAGAAATAAAAAAGGGTGCTAGAGAGGTTGCTCAGTGGTTAAGGACACCTGTTCTTCCAGAGGACCCAGGTTCAATTCCCAGCACCCACATGGTGGCTAACAACCATCTGTAACTCCAGTTCCAAGGGATCCAAGACCCTTTCTGACCTCTGAGGGCATTACATGCACATGGTGCACTTCCATACATGCAGGCAAAACACTCAAACACATAAAGTATTTTTAAAAATGAAAATAAATAAAATAGACTATCACTTACTAAAGAAAATCCTACTTTATATTAGTTCTCACAAGGTGTTTGTTATAGACTGGAATGATCAGAAAATTTAAGAACCATAATATACTATAATTAAAAAAATTTTATTGATAAGTATAATATAACAATATCAAGTAATTAAATCATAATTTACCTAAATGTAAAAGTGACAAAAGCTTGTCAGTGTCATGAAATCAAGATACCATTACTACTGAATGTACCTAAGGAGTGAGAGGGAAGAAAACTCTGACACTAGAAATGTTCTTGGAGGCATTATCACTCCAAAGACAGAGATAGTTCCAGCATCACCAAAGTGACTGTTTCTTTGTAAAAGTCCACACTGAGAAGCATTCTTAGTGGAGCTACATCTAATGCATGGACTCTAATTTTGATAGCACACACAGAATAAAACATGCAGATGGGGGACTGATCTGTATGCTAATAATTAAATGCTTTATATTTCATGATGCCAAGACTCCATAGCAAGGTAAAACGTGTTTTGGGTGTTTTTTGGGTATCTGTGGGGGGGGTTGTTTTGGTTGGGTTTTGTTTTGTTTTGTTTTGTCTTTTTGAGACAGGGTCTCCCTGTAGCCCCAGCCGTGCTGGAACTCACTATGTAGACCAAGCTGGCATCAAACTCACAAAGATCTGCCTGCCTCTGCCTCCCAAGTGCTGGGATTAAAGGTGTGTGCCCCACGCCTGGCTTAAAACGTGTTTTTAAAGCAATGGAATTATGCATACCCAATAGATTGTAATGGGGATGTTTTTTGTTGTTGTTGTTTGTTTTTGGTCTTTTTTTGAGACAGGGTCTCCCTGTAGCACCAGCTGTCCTGGAACTCACTATGTTTACCAGGCTGGCCTTGAACTCACAGAAGTCTGCCTGTCTCTGCCTCCCAAGTGCTGGGATCAAAGGCGTGCACCACCATACCTGGCTGTAATTTTTTTTGTTTTTTAATCACTATTTAAATAGTTCTGGGGGTAAAAGTTTGCACACGCTTTGTAAGTGAATGTCTTTTTCAAAAAAACTGGCGGCTGGCAAGATGGCTCAGCAGTTAAAGGCACCTGCCACCAAGCTGGTGACCTGAGTCGAGGATCCCCAAGATCCATAAGGTAGAAAGAAAGAACAGACCTCCCGCAAGTTGTCCTCTGACCTCCATGCTATGCACATAAATCACACATGCCCATATACATTTTTTTTTAAAAAAGTAGTAAGTTCTATACAACTTTTTAAAAAAATCTGTGAAATAGATTTTTAAATAGAAATTCGTTCAAACTCACTTCTAATTAGAAATCCGAATCACAATAGCATTTTTCACCAATAAGATATACAATAAAAAGGTATGACAACAGTGTTGGCAAAGGAATGGGGAAACAAAGTCTTTATGCCCTGATGATAGTGTAAGTGGATTCCTCCGTAAGATAACTGGCAATAAGCTATCAAAGTTGAAAACCCCTTGCTGACCCCTTTTCATGGTGGCATATGACTTTAATCCCAGCACTCAGAAGGTAGAGACAGAGGCAGGCAGATCTCTAAGTTCATGGCCAGACTATTCTTATGATTTTAAGTGGCAAAAAGCAAGACAATAAAGGGAAATTCTCTCAGAAAAGAGGAAATACCATGTTGTAGTCTGCTAGCTGTCCTTGAAACTCTTTAATTTCAACAGCTAAAGTTTCTGCTCTGCAAACAAAAACAAATACATTCAGAAACACATAAACAGATCAACATTAAGAATATTATGGACAATGCTCACATGTTCAATAAACTTGGTAGTATGAGTTCATAATAATGAATGAGTACTGAATTAATATTCAGGGGTATGAATTCATAATAAAGATCTTGAATGTTTTAGCTGTAGAATTACTCACCTCTTTTCATATGACAAATACACTGAATTTTCTTGATTGTACATTTCTATTTCTTTCTGAAGTTTATTAATTTCAGTTGTAAGTTCACTTATTTTACTTCTAATTGAAAAGAAAGAAAAGTCAGCAATATTTCTCAGAAAGATTCCTTCCACTTAAACACAATACACTTTTCTTAACTGTGTAACAATATAGAGTTTTATAAAATTCATTTTAAAAGAGTTTCTGGGACTGGGGAGATGGTTCAGAGCTAAGAGCACTGGCTGCTCTTCCAGAGGACCCAGGTTTGAATTCCAGCACCCACATGGCAGCTAACAATCATCTATAACTCCAGTTCCAGGGGATCCAATACCCTGTTCTGGTCTCCACAGGCTTTGCACAAACCCAGATTCACTTCATACACGCAGGCAAAACACTCATACACATAAAATAAAAATAAACCAAAAAAAATGTTTAAAGAACAGTTTCTGGGGTTTATGTGGCTAAGAATAAGGGCCATCTCATCTTATTCCATTCAACTGATGAGAAAAATAAACAAATACAGATTCTCTAATTACTAAGAAAGATGAAGCAGGACCAGATTGGAAGTCTGGTCAGGTTGGTACAATGCACTGGCAGACGTCCACACCAAACTGCTATCCTCACATCTACGGCTTCAAGTAACACTGCTGACATTTTAGGTCAGTGAGTGATAGACCTGGGGGAGGGGCTATCTTCTGCACTGTACGATACTTAAGAGCATCATTGATCTGGATGTCGGCAGCATCTTCTCCTAATCCCAACTGTGATGTTCAAAAATCTATGCATAAACTATAAAAGTTTTGGGGGGTAGGGGTGGGGGGGTCACACCAACTGAGAACATGTTACACAATGATCAGGAAGAGTTCTGTTTCTTCTTTTGAGTAAAACATGACTGGACATCAGAGAGCTATCTGATGGCCTTACTACATTTATTCTTTAACTTTGAGAACCAATTAAGGGAAAATTACCCTTTTCTATGTTGCTTTTCTAGGAGTTTAAGAATCAAAAAACACCCAGGTAATTGAAAAACAAAGAATCAAGACAAATTAAATTTAAAAATAACAACAAAGCTTTTAGTGTTGTGATGAGAGAACAGATTAAATGAAATGGAAAGAGAAAGATAACAACAATAAGCCAAGAAGAAAATTAAGTGAGAAAATCAGAAACAGGAGCTGGTAATGGTGGTACATGTTTATAATCTCACCATTCAGAAGGCAGAGGCAGGAGGATCACAAGTCTGAAGCTCCCTACAAAGTGAGTTCCAGGATGAGCCTGGGCTACAGAATGAGACATTGTTTCCAAAAACAAACAAAACAAAACAAAACAAAAAAGAAAATGGAGCTAGGACACTAGGTCACCCAAGGGAGAACACTGTTAGGTAGAGAGTAATTTTAAAAGCTCTTCATTTAGGGGTTACAGAGGTGGCTCAGGAGTCAATAGTACTGGCTGCTATCGCAGAGGACCTAGGTCTGGTTCTAGCACCTACGTGGAGGCTAACAAGCATCCTTGACTATATTTCCAAGGGATGTGAAACCCTCTTCTGGCCTCTGTAGGCATTGTACACATGTGGTACACTAACATACAATCAAGCAAAACATTCATACACACAATTTATTTTAGTTTTTAAAGGCTTATGAATTAGTGAAAATGAGGGCACATTTGTAGCAAATGACCAAATTATATAAAACTTTGTGCTGATTAAGGTACTAGAATTAGTATACACGTCTTATTAGGTATAATCAGTGATATTCAATTATATGAATAATATATTCAGAATAATATTTTAAAAGCAAAATAGATTTTTATCATTTCATAAAAAAAGTGAACCTTAGCTGGACATAGTGGTCTACACCTTTAATCTCAGCCCTTAGGGGGATGAGGCAGGTAGCTCTCTCTTGAGTTCAAGGCCAGCCTGGTCTATATAGAGATAATTCTAGGTCAGCCAGAGCTACATAGGAAGACTGTCTCAAGAAAAACAAAAAAAGTACTTTACGCTATGATTTGAATGTCTGTGTGTCCCCTCGTAACTTCACATTGAAACCAAGTCCCAATTTTATAGTATTAAGAAGCAGGGCCTTTAGGAGGTAATCCAGGCCTTGAAGCAGGCCTCCATGGATGGTAGTGCCTTGTGAAAGGGCTAGAGGGAGTTATGGTAGGCCCTTTGTGGTTCATTCACGATGTGAGGATAACTCAGTGGTGCCACCTATAAGGAACAGACTCTTCCCAACTACCAAGCCTCCTAGCACCTTGGTCACAAGACTTCCCAACTTCTGGAATTATGAGAAAAAAATTCCTACCATATATAACTTAACCAATCTCAGCTGTTTTATTATAGCAGCACAAACAGAGACAGAATATATAGCTCTTACACATACATAACTACGTAAAAATAAGAATTGCAGGGTAGGGCGTGGTAGGCAGTTTAGTTGGTAAAGTACTTGACCTGCTAACATGAGGACCTGAGTTCAATCCCCAGAGCCCATGGAAAAAAGCTGAGCATACTGGTACATGCTTGTAATCCCAGTGCTGGGAAGGCAAAGCCAGGCAGATCCCTGAGGTTCACAGGCAGTCAGTCTATTTGGCAAGCTCAAGACTGGGAGAGATTCTACCTCAAAAACAAAGGCAGGACCAGGTGTGCTAGAGCACACTTCTGATCTGAGCACTTGGGAGGCAGAGGCAGGCAGATCTCTGTCAGATCAAGGCCAGCTTGGTCTACATAGTAAATTCCAGACCAACCAGTGCTACATAGAAAGACCCTGCCTCAAAACAAAAAACAAAAATGGACAGTGCCTGAGGAATGATACTCAAGCTTAAATTCCAGCCTCCACATGCACCCACATACATACATCCAAACACACGCACACATACATGCATGTACATGTACACAAAAATCTCAGTCTAATTGAATTATCCTATCTACTCTGCAGTACAACCTAATAACCAGAAATTGTAGAATATAGAATTATCCCTAGAAATCAAAAGATAACTAATTATTGTAGTAAGTACACAACTAAAACTTCCAGGATCATGCATTTTACATACCTAAGAAGTCCAAGATAGTAAGACTTGTCTAAAATTTGCCTCTGGGGACCTAAAAATAAATGTTTTTTAACATGAATATTAATGTCCTGTTTCAAAATGGACCAGAATAACAAATCCAAAGCACAACCATGACTGCATGCCACAGTTCTCAGATAGCCCTCATGAACACCTCAGTACAGGAAGAATCACTGAGATGAAAAAGAAAACAAGTGTCCTAGAGTCCTGACACAAAGGAGGTCGGAACTGAATCAAGACCACCAAGATGGGACTAGACACAGGGCAGACTGGCTAAATGGAAGCTGAATCTAACGGAGTCTAGAACAGAGAAGTCTAAAACAAGCTTTTGTTGTTTTTTTTGAAACAGGGTATATCTCTATAGCCCAAATGGCCTGGAACTTACTATGTAGACCAGGCTGGCCTTGAACTCAGAGATCCCCCTGCCTCTGCCTGCCAAGTGCAGGGATTAAAGGCATGCACCATCATACCCTGCTTACATTATTAACTTTTAAGCAAAAATGTCTAAATAATCTACTTAGTAAGTTAGGTGGTATTATTAGAAAATTTACATCTCCTGAAAGAAATGCCATACTCATAAAATACAGTTGTGAGGTTGGCAAAATGGTTCAGTGGGTAAAAGTGCTTGCCACACAAACCTGAAACTCGAGTTTGATCCCTCCAACCCACAGAGCAAGGAGAGAATCAACTCCAGAAAGTTGGCCTCTAACTTTCACACATACACATGAACACACACAAACATAATTCAAAAAATTAAAAAGTACAGTTGCCCCTTGGTGTCTGAAGGGGACCAGTTCGAGGACTTCAGTACAGACATCCAAGTCTCTGACATAAAGTGCTGCAGTATTTGCACATAATGTATGGATCTCATCTCACACTACTTAAAACCATCTGGACCGGTTATAATGCACTATATTGTTTGGGGAATGATGACAAGAGTAAAGCCTGTGCGTGGTCAGAAGCAGGCAGAGTTTTTTTCTACTTTTGATCTGCAGCTGGTTGAATCCCAGACTGGCTGCCATCCGTGTATGTAAAGGGTGTCTTCAGTTCTGATAAATCATTTATCACAAGTTAAAAAAAAAAAAAAAAAAAAAAAAGCTAGGGGCTGGAGATGGCTCAGTGGTTAAGAGCACTGGCTATTCTTGCAGAAGACTCGAGTTCAAAATGGCAGCTAACAACTAACCACAACTGCAGTTCCAGGGGAACCAATACTCTCTTCTGACCTCCACAGGCATTGCATGACACAGATGCACTTACATACATGCAAGCATAACATTCATACAGATAAAATGAGCCAATTAAAAGTTTTAAAAAGCTATACCAAAATTTTAATCAAAGTCTAGTTTATAAATACCACAGATCAAATTGCTAAACCATAAAATATACTGTATTAGAAGCTAGGGTTGGCTTAGCATACACAAGGCCCTACATTCAATCCTTACCACACACACACACACACACACACACACACACACACAAAAAAAAAAAAAAAAAAAAAGCCAAAACAGTTTCAAGAGGTGTCTCTAACACCCAATACTTGAGAGGTAGAAGCAGGACGATTAGGAGTTCAAGATCATCTTCAGCTACATAATTGAGTTCAAGGCCCACCTGGGATACATGAGACCCTATCTCAACAATAAATACGATATATTATTATAACTTAAAGAGACACATAATGATACAGCATCGATTTATTAGTCTCCCTTCCTTGCTTATTATAATGGAGTATAATCAGAAAAAACAGTAGCATTTCTTAACTTCTATGAAAATTACAA